TTATTTCATTTGTGTATATTTTATTTTATTTGTGTTTATTTTATTTTAATAACTTTTATTTTACTTGTGCTTATTTTCTTTTGTTTTACTTTATTTTGTGTTTATTTTATTTGTTTTTATTTTATTAATTTTATTTTATTTGTTTTTTATTTTATTTGTGCATATTTTTTTATTTTACTTGCGTTTATTTTCTATTCTTTTATTTGTGTCTATTTTTTATTTGTTTTTATTTTATTTGTGTATTTGTTATTTTATTTGTGTTTATTTTATTTTATTTATACAAATCAACATAAACAGCAAAAAGCCTATAAATTACTTTTTATTCAAAAGTGAAAATAATATTTGCAGAATGTAAATGAACAGCAACGTCTTCTGATTGAAATTTGATTGGTCATTGCCAAGAAAGCATGCAAAAGGCACACCACACAGCTTATAAACAGTAAAAAGGCTTATTTCAGTTCACAGCAACATTACAAAAGATCTAGTTATAATCAATCAAACTCTCCACACTTTACAATGAATATAGTTTTATTGCATAAACATGATCTGTGCGCATGCATAATTTAACACTGAACTAATGTTTTTACAAGCGTGCGTGTGTGTGTGCGTGGGCGTGTGTCTGAGTGGATACTAATTTAAACACCACTGATTAATTTGTCTGTTGCATTCAAGAGTTCAACATGTACCTTTGGCTACGTTGCTCAACACTGTAAAAACAGACTGTAGCAGAATCCTTTGATGCTTTTCATGTGCCAAAAAATATATACATATGGGAGCTTTTGCCAAATCTGTTTCGCCATGTATGAGATGACTTTAATCCACAGCTTTTTTCAAATGGTCTTTAGTGCATTCCTCACAGTCTAAGCATTCTGTGTATATGAGTGTATGTGACACTGTTTGTTTACAGTGGAATAGAGGATAAGTGTGTTGAATTCTTCATCGTATTGTTTCGTGCTAATGTGCTCATGCATGATTTCATTTGAGAAGATAAACGTTTTACAATTTTTTCACAATGCTTACAAATCTTTGATTTATATCATCATGACTGGAAGATTATGTTCCAAAGTATCACCATATATAGAAAAATACTAAATATATTGTAAATATGTGTTTTTGAACCATACTGTACTTGGATTAATTTCTTACTGTTAACCAATAATAGACTGTAAAAGTTTTCTACGTTCATTCATTTTCCTTCAGCTTAATCCCTTGTTTATCAGAGGTTGCCACAGCAGAATGAACCATCAACTAATCCAGCATGTGTTTTACACAGCGAATGGCCTTCCCACTGCAACCCAGTACAGTACAGATTGATGACAAATAATGATCTTGTTCATTAATGCTCAATGACTTTTAGGTTGAAATTAAACTACTTCCTTTTAATGTGAAATAACTTCCTTTTGCACTGAGAATTCATGCATATACACATATGAAATCACTTGCATTTATGTATATACACAACTAGCTGTATATATGATTGTGAATTTTATTTTGTATGTTTGCGTGGGTGTTATTTGGGTGTTTATGCACACATCGAGTTTACATTAATATGTGAGAGTTTATGGTGGGTGTATGTGCAATGATCGAGTTTATATGTATATGCGAGTGTGTACAGGTGTGTTTGCATGCTGCAAGTTTATATGTATGTGCGTGTGTTAATGTGGGTGTTTATGCAAGGATTGAGTTTATATGTATGTGCGTGTGTATGTGGGTGTAGTTTCATATATGTTGTTTTCAACATCCAATAGTATGGGTGTATATGCGAGTAATTTATAGGTGTATATGCACATGTTTTTGAGTGTGTTGATAAGCGAAGTTTAATTTAAATCCTACACGGCGCCTCATAGAGAATGCTACCCGCTGTGCCACCGTGCTGCCCAATTTTTTGCAAATATCTATAAATTCATTAATTTTATTTTCGACTTAGTCCCTTTATTAATATGGGGTGCCACAGCAGAATGAACCCTAAACTTATCCAGCATATGTTTTAACGCAGCGAATGCACTTTCAGCTGCAACATATCTATAAATTATACAACAATAAACCACAGTATACTGTGGTAAAAAACTTAAGTATACTGGAGTGTTTATTACAGTTTATCAATTTGCTATATAGCTAATACAGTATGCTGTATCATTCATTATCAAAGTGTGGAAAATACTATAATATATACAGTATAATGCACTTTACTGTAGTATGATAGTTTGCTATAAGTTATTAATAAGGTTAAATGAAAAATGCTAAATTTCTTGCACAGATTGATCATTTTACTTCATAAAGCAAGACAAAACAAACCACACATTTTAATCTTGCTTTTTTTTTTTTTTTATACATTCAATCGCAGTTAGGGCTGCACAGTGGTGCAGTGGGTAGTACGTTCGAGCTTCGGCTGGATCAGTTGGTATTTCTGTTTGGAGTTTGCATGTTCTCCCCGTGTTTGCGTGGTGTTCTTCAAGGCGACTAAGCCGAAAAGCAAGAAAATAAAAAAAAAAGTCAAATTCTTGTCATAAACCCCAGTAACACTCCTAGATTTTCTAATCCGAATTTGAAGTGTCATAAGTGTCCTGTAATTTTAGTGTCCTAAAGAGAAATACGCAATTTAGATCTTGGATGACCTTATGATGAACTTGGATCAGAAATTCATCAAGGGTTAGTTCACCCAAAAATCAAAACCATGTTGTTTATTACTCAGTCACCCTCATGTCATCACAAAAAGATCTTTGTTCATCTATTGATCACAAGTTAAAATATTTTAGATGAAATCTGAGAGCTCTCTTATCCTCCATGCATACCTATATAGAGCAGTGTTTCTCAACCACATTCCTGCATGGAGAACCACCAGCTCTGCATATTTTCCATTTCTCCCTAACCAAACATACCTGATTCAGATCATCAGATCATTAGCAGAGACTGAAAGGGTGTGAAATGGGTGTGACAAACAAAGGAGACATCCAAAACAAGCAGTGTTGGTGGTCCTCCTGGAATGTGGACGAGAAACACTGATATAGAGAATAGTTTTGTGTGCACATAAAACAAAAATAGCAACTTTATTCAGTTTCATTTAAGATGTTTTCAGTTATTATTTTTTTTACTCTGTGTTGGTGAACAACACTGTAAGAAAATGCAGGGTTGCACACAATTCCTTCATGTTGTATTTACACAAATTAATTAAGTTAACAACTTTTAACAAATGTATGTGGATTGAACATAAAAAATTAAGTGAAATGAAATGAAATCTGAAGAATTGTGTTGTTTCAGCTGTAAATAAGTAGTTTGAACGAGCAAAAAAAAGTTTTTGAGTGAAGCATCTCATAGTGAAGCATCTCATATCTTATAGTAAAGTGCTGCAATTTAAGAAATGCAATTACAAAAAACACCAGAAAATTAAGAAAAGATCTTCATCCGTTTGACAGCAGACGTGCTGCAAATCCTCACAACACATACACATAAAACATGCTCTGCGTTTTCCCGACTGACATCACAAGGAAATGTAAGTATTTTACATTTTGTCAGTTTGGTGGCTAATTCAGTCGTACGAAAAATGTACGATTTTAAAAAAGAGGTGTGGCACCTAACCCCACCCCTAACCCCAACCGTCATTGGGTGATGAGCATATCGTACTAAATTGTTCAAATTAGATCATACAAATTCATACGAATTAGCCACTAAATCGAAAAGTTACGAATTGCCGTGAGATTGCGTTGCTATTTTCACACAAAGCAAACAAATTTACGAAAACGCGCTACATTTTCTCACAACACAAAAACATCGGAACACAATAGTGTTTTCAAAAGAACATGTCTGATTTTTACCACGTTTTCATATTTTACTACATTCTCATCAAAGTCAACTCCTCTCTGCGTCTCAAGTCCGCCGACGTACATGGCGAGCTAACTGGACAAACTGGTAACAGTGGAAAACCCATACACACAGAGGTAAGCGGTCAGCTGGTAAGTATGACAAGGAACGGCATCATATCACCCCCTAGCAATGCTCCCATACGTTCCTCTGCCTATAATTCGGGATCTCCAAAAAAGGCTAAAGGGCTACGTTTTCAGAATGAGCCTATATGTTGGTCACATTTTAGGGTCTCCTTGAAACATTTCCATTGTGTTGCGAGAAAATGCAGCACGTTTTATTAAATTGTTTGCGCTGTGTATAAATTCAGCACATTATTTTTAAAATGTTGTGAGGATTTGCAGCATATGTGCTGTTAAACTGATGGAGATCTTTTCTCAATTACACGTGTTTTCATAAATTGCAGCATGTTAAGCTTTCACAGCCACTATCCACGAGGTAAAGAAAAGTTTATTTTTAAATGCACAGACAAGTATTCTTGTAGCTTTATAATATTCTGACTTAACCACATTAATAGTCACATTGACTATTTTGAGGATGTTTTTGTAAAGTTCTTTATGGACTTTGAATGAGCTGGGACCATTGCCATATGGACAATCAAGCAGCGGCGATTTCATCCAAAATCTTAATTTGTGTTCCAAAAATAAAGAACTCTGGATTAAAAAGACCTGATAGTAAGTATACAATTAACAGAAATAATATTTTTTGTGAACTATACCTTTAAAAACTTTTTTTTTTTTTTGCTGAAATAATGAATCGAAAATAATTAATTCCTTAAATGAAAACATTAATCAATATAAAAAAAATATTATGCAATAAGTCGTTTTTTTAATCTCTGAGATGTAGGCCACATTTAAAATCACTTTATGTACAGCTCTGAATTTAGGCATATAAAAAACTTAATTGACTTGCTGTTACATTATATCAAGTACTAGCAATTAAAATGAAAAAGATCAAACATTTCACTGTTAAGGAATACATGTTAAAGCAGCTTGCCACAACATCAGGCATGGTGTTACTGTACGGGAAAGAGGAGGATATAGGGTCAAAGCGCTCGCGCTCGCGGCAGACGCTGGAGTAACTCATGGTAACAGATTCAGCAAGAGCGTGTGCGCGATCCTGACGCAACCAGTATCTGGTTTCCAGTCTCTCCTTCTGGAGGACTACGCGCTGTCTGGAGACGAAGAGCTTCTAACATGAAGAAAATGCATAACCGACACTTTATCTGAAGTAATTCAGCTTTTAAACAGCCATTTGCGGAGCCGCGTTAAGTTTTCACCGATTGATTAAAAGTTGCGCTGTAGTTTTTCCGTTATTCCTCCTCTTATAGCGGCACTACAGGAGCGAACTGTATTTAAACGCAGTCTTTAGCGGATATTCATCACCTCTGTTCTTTAGCCGTACGTGTTTTACGCATATGGATACTTTTCCGGAGCGCAGACGGTAGATTATGCATTCCTCAGGATGGGTGCGAACAATGGGAAACAGAGCGGGAGTGAAGGTGAGTGCCAGAATCAGACTCTCTCTCAGACACAATGCGCCTTTTCCACTCTTAAATCTCGCTGTACAGCAGCCATAGTTGTGTCAACGTCACTTATTCCCCATTATTCTCTGTGGGCAACTGTAGCCTTACAGAGAGCTCTGCTGTATTGTACTTCATAGTTGTCATTTTCTGTCACAGCGTGAGCTTTCGAGACCTTGGAAAGGTAGTACCCTTTAAACATGGGGAGTTAAAGACTTTCTTATGGCGTTTCTGCACTGTAAAAATGCTGGGTTCCACTATTCCTTCATGTTGTAGCAACACAAATCGATTAAGTTAACTTAATAATTGGATTTAACGCTCAACAATTATGTTGTCCTCCTCAAAAAAACGTAAGAATTGTGTTGTTTCAACTCATTTTGTTTCTAACAAGCAGCAAGTCATTCTTTTGAGTGTGTATAAAGTAAGGACAGGCTCTATATTAGGTCAGAGTCATAATTCCTTCATGGATTTTGCTATTGATTTTCAGTAATGGATTATAGTGCCATGCTTGCTTGTTTGAAGTGGCACCGATGTTTCCTTCTATACTTAGAATGCAGCTCAGAATGAATGCATTTAATTACAACTCTATACTTTGACACCAAGTGCTGAAGTTGGTCAGAGCATGCATAATTTAGTCTTGCTTTTTGTGAAAAACTATTTCATCATACTAATATTTGAGCAGGCACCTTAAACTTGGCTGTACAAAAACACTTTATGATAAAAAAATACTAAAACAATTGTACATTTCTAAAATTGTGTATGGTTTCGCAATGCTTTACTGCTTTCAGTGGTTGAGGATTTTGGTATTGATACTTAACCCAATCAAATTACAGGACTGTAAAACTGCTAGCATTCATCAAAATATCTTCTTTTGTGTTCAACAGAATAAATAAACTCATAAAGGTTTTAAATTAGAATAAATTATGAGGTAATGTTTACTTTTTAGTAAATATCTATCTTTTACATTTTTAAAAGTTGGAGATAAGTTAGTGCCAACAACAACACAAAATGACCATTAATATTTTAAATACACATTATTATTATTATTATTATTATTATTATTATTATTAATATCATTTTTATTATTGTTATTAGTAGTAGTATTAGTATTAGTATTAATATTATTCTTTCATTCATTCATTTTCTTTTTCGGCTTAGTCCCTTTACTGATCAGTGGTTGCCACAGTGGAATGGATCGCCAACTTATCCAGCATATGTTTTATGCAGCGGATGCCCTTCTAGCTGCAACCCAGCACTGGGAAACATCCATACACACACATTCACGCTCATAAACTACAGACATTTTAGCTTACAATTTAGTAAATTCTCCTTTACCACATGTTTTTGAACTTGTGGGGGAAAATAAAGCACCCAGATGAAAACGAGGCCATCATGGGGAGAGCATGCAAACTCCACACAGAAACGCCAACTGACCCATCCGAGACGCTTGAACTAGCAACCTTCTTGCTGTGAGGCAAACGTGCTACCCACTACTCCACCGTGCAGCCCATTATTATTATTATTATTGTTGTTGTTGTTGTTATTATTATTATTGGTATTATTATCATTATTAAGCAAACCTGCTTAAACATAATTGCACATGAAAATGATGCTATATCACAGATAAAATATGTATTTATTTTTGCACATTTTAAGAGCATGGTGCCTAAAGCAGCTTTATAAGAACTTGAGAGGTTTTGATTTGGAGCTAGTAATAAACTAGTGTGTGCCAACTGTGCACAATGCAAGCTGAACGGTTTTGACTAAACAAACCATCAATGGAGGGTGTGTGTACTTTAATAAACTGGGAATAACATACTATCATCTTAGCTTGTCTGCAAATCTCTAGATGTTTTTTCTTTTCATCCAGCAATATTTGCCACGCAGGTCTCAACAGCAGTGAACAGACAGCAGAGCAGGTTCTGTCCTTTTAAACTGTGGACGCTGAAGGTTGTTGCTGATCATTTTCTAATAACCGTAAGCATTCATGCCAGAGAGTTCGCTCTCACAGAGTGAGTTCTTGGCTGTGTGAGAGGCTTGTGGTCTTTTAAAGCACACCCGATTTCTGTGGAAGGTCAAGGTTTGGCCCTCAAGACTGGCATTCAGAGAGAAAACCAAGAACTTCCCACATGCAACTCTACACTTAGCATATTTCACATATTATCAACTTTTGCATTGTTTGCTGTTATCGCTTGCAGCTGAGGTTTTCAGAAAGTGAAGCTGATTAGATGAGTTTATTACTGGTTAGATGAGTCACTTCTACTTAGGCCTTCACTTTACTTAATTTAGTAAAACACAGTAAGATGAGATGAATTCGGTTGTATTCACAGGGCTACAAATTATTAAAAAATATAAATAATTTGTTATTATTAAATTATTTCTATTATGATTTAATTTAATTATATTGTATTTTAGAGTTTATTGTTGATTTCTTTTGTATAACTTTATTATCATTCTTATAATAAAATAAAAATAATTATCAATTTTAAAAATAAATAACAATTAAAAAATGAAGTGTAAAAAATATGAACATAATTTATTATTTTATATAATTCAGAATTATTACTATTCATTAATAACTAAGTATTTTAGTTCAGCAGTATTTCACAGATATTATTTACTGCTGCAATTTACTATAAAATATGATTGCTCTATGTTGGACTGTCTGGAGAAGTGTTAAAATGAAATTTTAAGGTTCTGTGCATTCATATGCACTATACATTTTTTAAAACTGCAGTTTGTAAGCCAACAAATTATATATGTGCACTTTAATCCAGTGACAGGGCTATTGGCTTAAATGCAGTCAAATGCTAATATTTATTCCTGTGTCACTTATGCATTCATTGTTAGAGTACCGGTTGTTCATTTACGAACAAAAGCTAATAGCCTTTAGTGCATCATGGATAAATTAAAGTGAATGTTTGCTCTTGTTTAATTTGATGACTATTTGAACCTTCAACAGAGGAAGTCATTGTCAAAGACCATATTTTTGGGCTCAAAATAAAACCAGAATGTCCTGGATCAGTTCCAGTGCAACCATTATTAAATCCAAACAAGTCATCTAAAGAGATTCAGTCAATTATTCAGTCAAATTTACAGCGAATTATAAATCTAAATGTAAACCTAATAAGGGATTTTTGCTTTTCTACAGCACACTGATATCAAAAGGGCCTCTATTTTAAAATTGTTCAATAAGTATTTTTTCATTTTAAGGCTTTTTTTTGTGTGTAGTTTTCTTTGAACTTCAGAACTAACTATAAGGTTGTACACTGTGAAAATCCAACCAGCAAAATTATGGCTTAATGAGTATTGTAATTGTAAGATATCTGGATGAAAAAAAAACATGACAAAGCCATCTGGACTAATAAAAATAAGTTGTTTGAACAATTATTGGGTCAACTAATGTGTGATTGTTGAACTGACTTAGAAATGCAAGTTGACATTAATGGAGGTTGGTCAGGAAGTTTGCGCATGAGTACTGTTCTGTTTCAGATGTTGGCCCAATTGTGATACATGAAATAAACAGGCATGACATTTTAGTCTAAATATATACAGTATTACTAAACCTGAAAAACTACATATGTGCAATGCTGTTGGATAACATCTCATAGGAAATCTAGGAAATCACAGACAAACTAGCAATAGAAGCTAAATCTTAGTAAAAAATGAGATTTCCCTTGGGGAAAAAAATGTAGGAAGAGCACTAAAAAGCCACATTGATAAACACTGGCAAAATATTAGGGATTCAGATAAAAAATGAAGAGATGGCATGTCCTAATGAACTGTAATGAAATGTAAGGAAGAAAAAAAAAGAAACTCAATTAATATGTAATTAAATTAGACTCTGATTAAGAGTCTGCCATGTAAACAGTGATTTTTGATTAATCCGATTAAGGTCATAATCGAACTAAACAGAAATTGTATTAAGACATGGAGTATGCCTATTTTAGTCGCAGTATTGAAGTGCAGTACAGATATGTAAACACCTAAATCAAACTATTTCCGTGGTGTAGGGTTTTTGCCGCATTTTGTGACAGGATAGTCTATACCAGGGGTCACCAATCTTGTTCCTGGAGGTCCAGTGCCCTGCAGGGTTTAGCGCCAACTTGCTTCAACACACCTGCCTGGGTGTTTCAAGTACACCTAGTAATACCTTGTTAAGATTGTTCAGGTGTATTTGATATGGGTTGGAGATAAAATCTGCAGGACACCGGTTTGGTGATCCCTGCACATGGCTGTCTCTTCATGAAGACTATTAACGACTTCTCTGCATCTACCAAGACCAGTGAAGGACCTCAGACTAGAGATCTGCACGGGACTAACATTTTGAATCCCGCCTATAACAAGCTGTCTGTATAAACACACACACACACACACACACACACACACACACACACACACACACACACACACACACACACACACACACACACACACACACACACACACACACACACAGCAACAAACAAGCTAAACGCAGTATCACGCTGTCTCATTCACACACATACATGCGCGTGCTCACTCGCTCGGGAGTCGGGTGTGATATTGTTAGACCGCCCTCTTGTTAAACCAGTTACTAACCACTCCCCCGCTTTATTCGGAAATTTGGTTTTTAGTTCGGAATGCAGACCTCTACCTCAGACACCCACATCACAAAGTGCAGAGGTTTTTTTCCCATACGGCACTGTATCGAATTCCATTAAAACTACACTCATTAAATATATCTCATTTGTCATAGGGGCATGCATGAAATGTGAATGAAAGTGAAAGTGCCGAACTGCAGTTAAAGTTGACAAACTAAAAGTAAAACACCTGAAATTACATGAAACTCTGGAGGAAACGTGAATATTGTGATGACGTTTATCGAATTATGTGCTATGACATGTAAAACGGGATCATAAAAGGAACAGTCAAAAAGAAACTCATTTAAACACCCTAATCATATTATTGTCTTATTTAGATTAAGGTAAATATTATGA